ATGCACAGGTAGGGAAACAGAAACGAATGTGAATAGCTAACCCCAAATCACCCTAATTTGGAAATGAAATAGAACCCGTAACGTTGGGTTCTGTTCTCTGGGTGTTAGTAGACATCAACCATTACTAATGCTTTTCTTGAAACCAAGTATCCATCTAAGTGTATGTATGGCAGCAACCGTCTCTCCATCCCCCTTCTTCCCAGAGGTGGCCGGGCAACGGTGACGTGTCCGGTTTGTCTCCCGTCTCCCTCCTCCTGCAGGTGGAAGCGGGACACCAGTGGTACCTCCAGGTGATTTACGTCATCGGCCCCGACACCGTCTCGGGGCCCCGGGTCCAGCGTTCTCTCACAGCCCCCCTGAGGCGCAGCCGGAGGGACCTGGTGGACCCTAGCGGCCGGCTGACCCTTGACGACTCCCTCATCTATGACAACGAAGGCGACCAAGTCAAGAACGGCACCAACATGAAGTCCCTGAATCTGGAGACGCTAGAGCCAGCGGTCGCTGCGTCTCTGTCCCAGACCGGGGCATCTGTTGGCAGCGCCCTGGCTGCTATCATGCTCCTGCTGTTGGTGTTTTTGGTGGCTTGTTTCGTGACCAGGAAGTGCCAGAAACAGAGGAAGAAACGGCCCACAGAGGACGTTTTGGAGGAATATCCTCTGAATACCAAGGTGACCGTGCCCAAGAGGAACGCGGACCGGCTGGAGAAGAACGTGAGCAGACAGTTCTGCACCGTGCGGAACGTCAACATCCTGAGCGAGACCGAGGGCACATATGCGTTCAAAGGCGCTAAAGTGAAGAAATTGAATCTGGAGGTCAGAGTTCACAACAATTTGCAAGACGGGACAGAGGTCTAATGGAAGAGGCCTATGTGTATCTTTTTCTAAAGTCATTTTTATAACACGGGGGGAAATACTGGTATTTTTATAATCTTGCAGATCAAAAAGGGAAAACTAGGTACACGTGGCGGACGGTTCACATCACACGCGTCAGCTCCCAACTGAGCTACCTCGACAAACAAACAACCACCGAGACCCCCAGAGGGTTGGAGCAGAATCGTTTCTGTAGGTCCCTTTTGATGGTCTCAGCAGCTGTAAATGGCTCCTTCCTCACGGCCGATGGCAGAGAAACAACTGTTGTCATGTTAGGACAGAGCCGGGCCGTTACGTTAGCTGGTGGGGCCCAGAGCACTGAGGGTGCACCATGGCGGATCTCAGAGAGAGCAAGGCGGGTGCAGGACTCTCATCTTCCTCTCCCGCCCCGGCTTTCTCCTACTTGGGCTTCTCCTGGGTTTCTGGACAGCAGAGCACGAATTGCTGACACCCAGATTCCTTTAAAAAAAAATTCTGATTAGCACAACATACGTATTTGCCCGTTGTTTCCACTGACACCCTGCACTCCAGGCCTCTCACTGTGCTTTGCTCTTCCAGACCCTTCTCACCTGGGGACTTCGGTGTCTTTAGATGCCATTTGCACTGCTCTGCAAATCGTGGCAGAAACCTCCGGCCTCTGCCGCAGGCTCCGGGCACAGAGGACTCCTCTTACAAAGCGAGGGGCGGCAAGCATGTCAGAGCATGTTAGTGACGCACTTCACCCGGGCCCAGGGAGATGTCTTCGTTCACGACTGGCTCGCGCCGCACGGAGATGCTTCTCCCTGAGGAAGGGAGCTGGGAAACCAGATCGATGCACCGTGGCCTTTTTACTCCACGGTGCCATGGCCACGCTTGCCTGCCCCTCCAGGCTTTTTCCAGTCCAATAACAGGCAGCCCGTGCTGTGGGTTTTTATTTTGTTAGTGTTTCGGGAAAGCAGGTGAAAGTAAGTTCGTTTGAACAAAGTAGGTTAGGAAGAAGCCCAGGTCGGGAATCGGAATTGACAAATGCACGCTGGCTCTCCTGCTGTTTGTCGCACGGCAGACAGAGGCCCCGTTCCTAGTGCAGCATTTTGGGGGTTTCTCTTTGAGGGGTTCTTTTCTGGTAGCTCAGGCAAGTATTTTTACTGTATCAGCACATGACAGGGCCATAAACACATGGCTCTAACATAATTTAGTGTTTAAATACCAGCTTAACGACTCTGTGTGGTGTGCGTATGGCTTGCTTTTGTTTCTCTCTTGTTTCTGCCTTGCCGGCAGGAGCATCAGCCCGCCATGCTGTTTAGAATCGGAGGCACAATTCCATTTTCCAGGAGCGAAAGACACGTTCTCTTCCTTACTCGTGGTTCGCCGTGATCACCCAGCAGATAGCAGAGCACTCACACTGTGTAGTGTTTGTGTCAGAATGACTCAAGCTCTGTGAGAACATCCCTAACTGGTAACACTTTGGCACTAAAAGCTACAAAGAATGAACTGTCAAAGGTTACAGGCAATGCTTGTGGACTCCGCGCTCCTTGAGCGTAGGACGTGCGGGAGCCGCGCCTTGGGTTCTTCACCTGTGCCTTGCAGGTAATGAGCGCTCCCTGAGCGAGTGAATGGTTGGTGGAATGGGTGAGTGATGGGGGATAAATTCAGCACGAGGAGGTGAGAGTGTGGCTTCACTATCACAAGAGCAGGTAGAGGGAAAACATCATCTCCTCTACTTGGATCCTGAAATCATCTCACACGTGGCGCAGAGAAGCACCGCTTTACGTGGCCATGAATCCGGCAGCCGTCCCGAAGAGGTGTGAACGGCAAAGTGGGAATAATGTATCAGCAGGAGGTCGGACTGCGAATCGGCCCCCAGAGCAAGAGATTTAGAGGAAGGTCTGATTTAGCGTTCGGCGATGAGAGTCGAGTTTTCGAGAGAGGAGGAATTCGGGTGAGCGCAGAGTCTGAGACTGCCGACGGGCCAGGTGCGAGTTACGACCGGCTTTGGCAGTCAGCTCAGGGCAGAACTCCGGTGTCAGCTTCGTGACATCCAGGACGAGTGTCTCGTGGCTGGAGAGCTGGTCAGCCTGGCACAGACTCTTCTCCAGAACAATCCAGAGGGTGGATGCCGATTCTGTAAGGAAAGGAGCTCATCGTTGGTAGAGAGGAAGCCCAAGCGTGTCCCTGCGTCCCTGTCTGTCTGCCTCCCCCGGCTGCACGGAGGTCACTCATGCCAGCACTTCTCTGCAGGACAGACACTTGCTAACGGAAAGTGTCAAGAGATGTGGAGATGAGATTTACCCTTTGATGTAGAATTGTTCGTTTATTTTACGATTCATCGTAGGGATCAGATAATTTGATGACTCCTGTGGATGATATTTCGGTCGAAGCTCTGCTTTCCATTTCTCTAACTTGCTCACGAATGCCCTGCGTGTGTTTTACTAACCTTCTGTATCGTGCATTCAGACAAGAAGGAACAGGAAACCCTCGGTGCTTGCTACTTGCTGTGGTGTGCTGGCTGTGAAGGTTAAAAGGAGGAACGGTCTGCACCGTTTTTCTGCTTTGTATCCTTGCGTTGGACCCCAGGCCTCCCGCGGTTTTCTGTTGTTGAACGGGACACAGTGTTGGGATGTGTTTACACGATCCTATGATATTCGCTCTCAGTCTCTTACAGGTACTTGTTATTCTTGGATATCACACACCTGCCCAGACTGAGTAAAACATTTCTGGTGCTGTCAGCCTGACTTCCTGACTCTCAAACCATTTTTGTATTTCCAGTACAAATTTGTGTGTTATGAATTTCTGATTTCTCCAATAGCATTTGCCACTGCATAAATTTTATTAATAAATGGCAGTCTGGTTGTATTTTGTTTTGCCGTGTTCTTTTTAGATTATTCATCTCATTAACATAGACGTTGCCATTGAGATAGCAAAACCATTCTAAAATTTGAGGCAGTTTTTTGGAGGAAACCCTTCTAATGAGGGTGAACCAGAGACACATGTTAACTGTGCCCAGAGCAAGATGCTGAATAAATTATATATCCTCAGATCATCGTAGCTCTTCTTTGCAATCCATTGAAACCCAGGACAAGGAAGAATAACTAAAATCTCCATGTGCAATACAATGAGATTATATTATTATCAAAACCTCTTACTTGATAACAGACGAGGACAGCTCTGTCCTGCTAAGCTCGTGCATCTATCTGTTAAGCATCCATAACTCACCCTGGCGATGACCGAAGCTCTAAACTGGAATTTACCGGCGTGCGAAGGGGAAAATGGCAGAGTCAGAACGGAACTAAGCCCAGCTGGTCTCAGCTTTCTGCGAGCCTGCGCGTTTGCGTGCCTTTCCCCTCTGATAAAACTAACAAAAAAAAATGCCAAAGACAGTGACCAGCCGGGCTCTGTTGGCACATTTGCAAACTCAGCAAGACTCAAAAAAAGCATGTTTTTATAAAATCTGGGAAAGGGACTCCACAACCAAACCTGGAAGTTCCTTAGAGCTGCCAGGAGCTTAAAGTAAACTTCCCGTCCTCACAATTCTTTCCTGTGATTGTTCCTTGCGTAAGAGCAGACTACGCCCTGCAGTGCATTTGTTAGGATTTTGAAGAAATGGAGTGGGAGAGGGAGACTATATTTGGAATGTGTTATTGGGTTCAACTGCATGAAATCGGTGATTTTGTGGGTTAAAAGTAGCCCAGTATCAGTAGTTTTGTGTCTGAACCTAATACTAAGGTACGAGGAAGCTGAACAAGTGGAGGGTGCCGGAGGCCAGTGCACCCAGGGGGCATGGAAGCTCCGTGCCTCTACATGCCTGGCCCTGTGCATCTCTGCATCTGTGTCCTTGGGGTCACAGGACCAGGGCTGCAACCGCAGGTGCTGAAAGTAGGAATGACTCCTAAGAAACCTCGCGTCAGAATTCCTCACGGCTGATGGGAACAACCGCAGTGGAGTTCAGCGTGTCGAAGGGTGAAGAGCCACAGGAACCAGGATCCCTGCGTGTGTTAGGTCCAGAGCTGAGAGAGACACACGGAGCCTCACGTGTAGCAAGATGCTGTTTATGTTGAGCATCTGGGTCAGATGGGTGGAGGCGGAAAAGCGTCCACACTGAGGGAGGGGAGAGCCTTGGTTTTATAGAGGGTTTCTCGGGGGGAGTGAGTACCTGGGCCAGAACAGCCGCTGCAATAAAAAGTGTCCTTTAACAACCAATTTCTGCGACCCCTGCATCAGTCTCACCCTGTAGGGATAAGGGAGGCGGATAGTTCCATCCTTATCGGGGGGATAGGAGTGCCCGCCGCAGCTGTCAGGTTTACAACCTCCGGGGACTCTCCAGACTCCTGCGGCTGTTGTTTCACAAACTTCGGTTTTCCATTAACCGCATTCTGTCCTGTACATACTTTTCGAGTTCCCACCTGGAGCAGACCTAACAGTGGGTCCATCTGGAAAGCCGTCTGCTGGCCAGGAGGGCCCACACTGGACTGTCAGCCTTTGTCAGAAGTCTACTGACCCTGGCGCTGCCACGCTGGAGGAACGCGTGAAGAGAACACGCAGAGATGGGGACAGTTGTTGGGGACGCCCAGGTGTTCCTAGAGCAGGCACCAGACACACGCATGAACACGCCTTCAGATGATCCCAGCCCCACGTGTCATCTCAGTGCAACTGTGTGAGACACGACAGCTACCTGAGTTAATTCCAGATACTAATATCTGACCCTCAGAAATGGGGAGAGAGAATAAAAGATTGTGGGGTTGGGGTTTTTTTTTTTTTTTTT